CTATTGAATAATCATTTCTCAACGCAACTATTTGAAAAAAAAGGAAAAAAAAAAGAAGAAGGTGGTTTAGGTGCATGATTTACGTTGATAAGTGGGATAAAAGTAAGATAGATCATTTAAATTTGAATTCATATCACTAAAAGCAAAAGAAAAAAAAATCTTTCTTTCGTGATTCTTCGAAAAGTTAAATTAATGATTTGGTTTTAATCCTTTCGCTTAGTTTTAATACGACATTTTTAAGAAGTCATAATTAATCCTTATGATTTGAGCTTAATTTCAATTTGATTTTCATGTTTTGAATATATATTTTTTTAATTTGATTACCATAGGTTCGTTATATAATTAGATTGTTTATTATTCACCTTAAAAACTCAACTATTTTCTTATATTTTTGTTGGCAGTTCTAAACTTAATAGAATGAGCTGAAATTGAATGGAAATATTAACTAATCTACAGCTAAATAGATATATGATATGTATTTAATATGAATAAGTCACGAGATTATTGAGAAATTAACCAACCTGAATAATTTTCCATTTCTCAGAAAATATCAAACACAATCAAGAATATGCAAATAGAAAGAAAAATAGTAAATAGAAGTAGCAAATTATATTGGTTCACGGCTACGTCCGATATTCCAGAAATTGACCAATATTATTAAAGATTGGATACAATAACACTCCCCAAAATATCCCTAGGTCTCAACAAAAGGCCATTAACTTCTAAGTATTTTACACAATTAATACTTAGAAGAGGAATGAAAAATTCACAGAATCAAGATACAATTACCCGATATCGATCTTGGTTAACCCCAAACCTTCTATCAATACCCGAGTCGCTGCCACTGATTTGCTGCCAAAACCCTTTGAAAAACGGCTGCAAATAACCCCTTGTTCGGTTTGTAAACCTAAAAATCCGAAACAATAGTATTTATAAAGTTGACACAGTGACAGAGACATTGCTGCGGCGCTATCCCCTAGTGTCGCGGCACTGTCTTCTCGGTCCAAGTGGCCTGCAGCGTCCAGCTTCCCTGTTTTTCATCCCCACTTCGACCCGTGTCCAGACTCGATCGTGACTCATTCGTAGCTCGATCCGACGTCGTTTTGAGTCCACCAATTCCAACAAAGATTTGACCAAATCACAAAGATAGAATTGAAACTTTTCAAATTATAGGGAGAAAAATAAAATTAAATTCAAATTATAGGAATCCAATTTCAACTTTAAAAAACAAATTAAAATTAAATCCAAAGATCAAATTAGTAGTTTGAGTTTTTAATTAATCAAAAAAGTAATTTATTATATATTCAAGAGATGATTTTGAACCAGCTAATTGAAATTACAATACTTTAAAAATAATATTAAAGAGATCCTCTTCAACGGTGGTGTTTTTTTTTTCTTTTCATATTTCGAAAACATAAAGTTGTTCCCTCTCGTATTTATTTATTTGTCGACAACCATGATTTGAAATCAGAATTATGAGATATCTTTTTTTTTTCTTTTTAAATCATGAGATAGCTTGATGAGATGATTAGCTAAGTAATCATATATATATAAATGTCGTTTATGGTTTTGAAATTATAGCCAATCTAACAATTTTAAAATATTAATATTTTGAAAAGCGACTTTTTAAGAACGTGCAATTGATAATTTCATAAGCTTAACAACTTTTTGGAAATCAAATCTAAATTTCTTTAAAAAAAATGAAAACTACTGTATTTTTTTTTTTAAAAATGTTGTTAATGATTTAAAAGTGTCCATACAGGTCGACTCGATTATCGAATCGAATTGAGCCGGTTCGGTTCAGATCGGTTAAGATAAAGTTTCAATCGAACCGAACCGAACCGTTCGGTTCGTTCGGTTTTGTTTCTAACTTAGAAAAAATAAGTGTTGGCTCAATCAATCCCTCAACTCCCGCAAGTTGCAACCCACCCCCTCTCTCTCTGAGAAAAGTGCGGTGATTGCGACCATCCCTGCAACGGCGACCATCCCCACCTGTGACGAAGATGACGACGAATCACGACCCATGAAGTCGTGGTCTTGAACGAACAGCTGCATCCAGACTTGAGAAAGCGCGGCGACCATCAACAAGAACGCTCTACCTACAAGTTTAGAGTCGATTATTTCCTATTTAATTTTATGATTATTTAGGTTTAATTCAACTCCCATCAATTTTGAAAAATAAATCTATATAAATATAATTTTTTTAGTACAAAAATTTGGAGATATGAGAGATCGAACTCCTGAATTCGAAAGAAAAAATACATACCAATTATTATTGAGTTAAAGAATAAATTTATTTAATTCTTAATGTTGCGTTAATAGCATTAATTAAATGATAACATTATATATATATATATATATATATATATATATATATATATATATATATATATCAATTGAACGAACTTTAATTGATTTAATATAATGCAATAGATAAAGGGTAGAGATTAATGGTTAAATATATTAAAGAAACGTTGTGGGTAGACGAGGAAATAAACTAAGCTGATAATATAATTGCACACTATGAAGAACAGAATATGAAAATCATTAATGTGAAGGAATGTTGCCTGCGAGACTTTGAAGCTACTTTCACCAACTTCATATTTTTGTTGAATTACTTTATATTTTTTGTAGTACAAACATGTGTGAGTCGAACTCACTGACTTCATAATTGGAGATATATGTCAATTACCACTGAATTATATTCATTTTGACGAATTAATTTATGCTCTTATTACTTTGTCTTTGTAAGTTGAGACCACATAGGTCCAATAATATTTAAGCCTTTGAACTTGATCTTGTTTCTTAATAAAATGTGGTTTTAAAAAGATGTGAATTATGAGTGAAGTTTGAAAATGAAATTTTTATTTATTCATAGTATCTTTCATTACTAAAGAAAGGACATGTACTTTTAATAGTACACATACAAGGTAATAAATGTAACACTGACACATAAAAGTCAATATGTGTAATTATAAAAACAATTCAAACATTATAACACACATTCGATTTTCAATTATTTTAGTGAAATTTCAAAGCATAATTATAACATAGAGATCATTTTCCCATCTGGTTATGGGCTGCTGCTTGCCTTTGATCCTCAAGGGTAAGTGTACTCTGCAAATTAAATTAAAACCATGTACACATATTTAATGATTTTATATTGAGAATATATTTCACAAGAAAATATGATATTATATCAAATATATTGTTTAGATAATGAAGTATATAGGATTTACCTAAAAAATCAATAAACATGATTTTTTTTGTTTGAAAAAACACACACACAGAAATAGTCATTTTAATTAATTATATGTTTTTAATAATTATTGAATAACATGTTTAATTTATTTATTTTAGTGATTACTACAAACTCTATATTATTTACAAAGCATTTTGTGTTAGAACATGTGGGATTGAAAATTGAACTGACAACCTCTTGGGGATTGAAAATTGAACTCATAACCTCTTGGGGAGATATATCAGTTGAGTTATATTTGCTTGGTCAAGTAAATCAATTATTAACAATGATACATCAAACTTGATTGTTGAATCCGAAAACCATTAACTAACTATAATTAATTTTTCCATTGCGAATCATACTGTTTCATATTATTTTTAATTAATTATAATATTATCTCAAACTTTATTTCAATTACCCAATATTATTATTATTATTATTATTTTTTGAAA